CGCATGTAATATTATATCATACACTGTGGTATTCCAAGTGATTTTTTCGGATGAAAAGAAGTTTAATTGGATGGACCCGATGGCCTGGCAAGCCATTGGCGCGATTTGAGGAAGGAGCCACGCTACTTTTCCAGACGCGGATTCGGTGGCGGTAGTGTCATGGTTTGGGCTGCCTTCTCAGCATTCCGTAAGAGTGAACTGGTTTTTATCACGCAACGCTTGAACTCCAGTGGCTACAGGAACATCCTCCAAAACAATTTGGTGCCGTACATGCAGCGATTTGAATTCGTTGATTTCAAATTCCAGCAAGAAACGCCGCGGTTCATGTGAGTGCCTCAAATATGGAGTGGTTTCAAGAAAGAAACATCAGTCTTCCCGGTAGGCTAGCCAAATCTCCTGACATGAAGCCGGATAGAGAATATATGGGGCATACTCACGACTTTTACGCCAACTGTAGACAGTTCGAGAACGAAGAACAGCTGAAAAATGCTGTCAAGGAGGATTGGGAGCGGATATCGCCGAAACGATCTCAAGGCTTCTCCAAAGCATGCCGAAGCGGATGAATGGACTAACCCAAAGAAGAGAGATTGTTACTAGTTTTTAATTGTTATTGTTGTTGTTGATTTCATCAAGTATATCGCGCAGGAAGTTTGATGGCCGATGTGTACCTATACTTCTGGATCGCCATGATTTTAGAAAAAAGTTGCAAAAGAACTCCAAGATTTTTTTCTTTTCAATTTTACCAATATATTTGTCACAATGCATTGTTGATACAAATTTGGATAGAAATCATTCGCTTATTAAGGAGATATTGAGGAAAAATAACGTCCCTATACTTTTGGGACACTGTAGAATGGTCACTAGGACTACACCTAACGGAGGGGGAACGAATTCCGAAGAGGATGAGAAACGCTCATGCATCTCGGATACCCTCTTCTCCTCTAGTACTTAGACCTGAGCTGAGCGTTCCTGTGAATCTGACGTTGTTATGTGCTGCCCACCCCCCCCCCCGGAGCAATATTGCGCCGCCTTTTCTTCTCGGTCATAGTGTTAAGCAGTCAGTCAGGCACAGTCCATAGTCGAACTCCTCTAATTTTTCATTTATGGAGGGCTACCTTAACTCAAAAAGGGCGTCACTTGTAGTGTTATGCTGTCGTAATCGTCCACTTTAGGGCCGAGTGCCCTGTAACGTGCCTGCTTTATTGAGATTTGTGAAATTAGAATTATCAACAGTATCCGTATGTAACACAGAGGTATGCTAGGTCCTTATGACGACCTTTTTGCTCCCAGAGGATGATATCAGAGTGAGGGGTATATCCCCTGGTGGCACGGATTAAATTACGCTGGGGTTCGGAGCGAAAATGTTTCGCGCTGCGAAAGCAACAAAGTGTTTTGTAGTAACACACCCACTTGACAAGGCTCTTCGAGCTCCTTTCTTTTAGTGGATTAAAAAAATGTTCACTCGATTCGGAAAATGATGTTTCCAGTCCATATGCTTTTATGATGTTTAATCGTTTTAGAAAATGCCTCCATATGAAGTCTCACTGATCACGCGGTCTCTATCGAAGGTGAGATTAATCGTCGATTAAAACCATTGTGTTGTTCAGTTATTTAGCGAATTGGCGATTGAAAATGGGGGAAAATGAAAGAAATCAGCATAATCGCGGGTGATGTCGCGATCTTGCGCATTCCTTCTGCGTATAGATCACAGAGAAGTGGCTTACTGACTTTGTGTGTCCTCCTTAATCCTTAAAGCAACAGTCCAGGCAGGGTTTCAACTACTTGGTCATTAGGCGGTCAAAACATGCCCCAGCCCAACTAAAGTTTATAGGAAATGTCTTTAAGTTCAAAACCTACCTCTAAAATGCGCTGGAAGGGGTCGAAGTCCTCTTGGAGGGGGCGGATCATACCGAGGCGGATCGCTCAACATACGCTGTGCAGAGCGCTTGCTCGACTAGCGGTCGTTGCGGGACCGCCGCGCTGTATGAGGTCGATTCCATAAGAACGCAATTGAAGCGCTTCAATTTCGATTGCTGGCAAATAGTTATGTATTTGCAAGCATGCATGGCTATTTGCCAGCAGTTGCAATTGGAGCGCATGTACTACGGGCAGGTTCGGACAACTCGTCCAACACACGTCTCCCTAAACGGCAGGGGGAGTCCCTGTCTAAGCCCCTGCCCGACGTTTTTTTCTACTTTTTCTTTCTCCATTGACCAACTTCTCACCTGCAACGTCATTATAGGTGGTCCTTACCCGCGAATTCGTTCCTGGATTGTTGCTTTAATCCATTGCGATCTAATTGTGAGAAGTTCCGGACGAGCAAGTAATAGGCGCCGAATAGCGCCATCGACAGAAACGAATGCCATGTTCGTAGGGCCCCAAATAACCCTCATACACAGGTTTATAGCTGATTGGTGGTCATTCGTGGTGCCACCTGGCGTTAAGTTTGGCAGCAGCGCAAAAAAGCTGATGTCATATTTGTGATCAAAGCCCTCGATAATCCCGATGGGGGAAGTTTCAGCAAAAAATTGACCCATTTTATTCCTGCTGAGGTTGGTAGTGCAGTAGTGCTGGGGTGTGTGGATGAAATACTCCGGCAGATATCAGCAAAGGGTAGTAAGAGGTAGCGCTTATCGCCGAACTTTTCAGTGCGGTGGGCTGACCACGTCATTTCCGGGTGACACGCCAATGCAGACTTCGAGATATCGGCTGTATGTTCCCCGGGAGAGGGAACCCTCCCTTGTAAGGTATGCTTACAGGAGAGGGAACCCTCCCTTGTAAGGTATGCTCTCCCCGGAAAGTTCACGGGAAAGACACGCTCCGCGTTTTCGGGGATATTCCCCGGTTGCCATGCACTCGAGGACATGTCCTCGTGGTTGACATGCAGGCGGGGAGACATCACCAAGAACCGGTGTCATTGCCATTTTCCCGAGAGTTTTTGTAGAGAGCATACCTTACCGGGGAGGGGTGAGTCTCCTGTTCGGGAGCTTACGTTACCGGCCCCTGATTTTGGGATGGAGTATTTTCATACTTCAAAAGAAAATAAATATTATACCGTAGTGCTTTATAATATTTCTTTCGTTATTGGATCCATGCGCGTTTTGGTGCTAACTTAGTTGGGGGGGGGGCACGCGGCGGCGCGGCAGTCTGCTCACCTGGGTTCTCTCGAGCGAGACAGTGTAAACTCGAACATTCCAGCTTTTCACGCATGTTTTTTTTTGTTGCCCCAAGGTTTTGGGGGGGGGGGGGGGGGATGCCCCAACCCCCCCCCCCCCCCCCCCAAACCCCCCCCCCACCCCCCCCAGACTGCACACTCCCCCTGGCCGGATTCCGAACATGCGCAGCGCGAGCGCTGGCCGCCCGCCACGTGCCCCCCCCCCAACTAAGTTAGCGCGTATATTTGCATTGTTCAGCAGATTTGTGAAAACGTTAGTAAGAGCTGGAAAGACGTTGCTGAATCACGGGGCTGTGATTGAGGGCGTTGAATCTCTTGGATATCGTGATTTGCCGTACAAACGAACTGCAAAGCAGACCCATGAGCCCATTTATGCTTCCAAGTTTGTTTTTCAAACCTATTTTAATACCACGTTTTCTCCGAGCCTGGTCTTCATTTGTTACTTGCTGATACGAACACTTTTTTAGTTTCTTTCTTTTCCGCACGCATATGTCTACAAAAGCAAGAGAAACTACCAAATCGATCTTCATGCATGATCTCGACATGGTAAATATCGCTCTGAATTATATTTTGGAGTAGCGGTGAAATAAGGGTAACGAAGCTGGAAATGGCTTTCTGTTTTTTTAGGTCCATGTTGCGGTTGTTCCTGTAACTCCACCTACTCCTGTAAAATGTAATCTTGAAGAAATTTTGAAACCTCCTGCAAAACGTCAGGTTTGTTGCGCATCATTCCACGTTTTTATAGACAGGGTGTTTTTTTTTATCTACTTTTTGTCAGTTGGTTTCCAAGAGGAAAAGACTAGCTGAAATCAGGTGTAGGGCATTGTGTTAAAACGCGAGGTTACTCGTAAAGAAATGTGTCACGTACGGAGTGTGAAGCTGCAGGGCCTGCCATAGAGCACAGCCTAATACTCGACCTTTCAGATGATGGTGCACAGACTCGCAATGAGCCGCTGCCTTTTGATAGTTAGAGTACCAGGATTCCCCAATGTTAGAAGCGCTCCAACATTAGAGTGGATGTCTGTGCAATAGGAAGAAGTCGATGTCCCTTCTTAGGGTTGCTCTGAGAAAGTGGTCGCAGAGGCTCTTATCAAATCAATTTTTTAGGCAGTGAAAGAACTTCGTGAAGGCCAGAAAATGGGTCACTTCACTCGACAGATGATCTACAAGCGGACAGAAAAGGAATGGAAGAGCATTCCGAAGAGTTACCCAATTGCCCCTCAGCGACCATAATCGATATTGTCATGTTTCAAACTGTTCGTGTTTATCTTTACACAAAGCTGTCTCATGTCATTCAAAAGAGCGCAATCAGCATTCCGATTGCCTTGCATTGGTGATTCAATGCTCACGCTGGTATCGAAGTTTACTGTCTAGTCTTGTGGCAGTATTTATCAGGGACGATATACGTATAATGTATAGAGTTGTTGTAGATCTGGATCAGTTGAGTTAGATTTTTAGGATTAACTTTTTAGTACTGCTTGTTGAAATATTCAAGTTTTCGTTGTAGTTGTTGTCAATTGGTGTAAATCATTCGATCGTTGATGTTTTGTGGCTGTTTATTCTCTCGGTTTACCCTGAATACTTCGTGATTTATACCTTCACTAAATCTGACAATCACTGAATAACGGAATTTGGGAAGTTGTGCATTCGCAGCAGTGAAGACATGTCGTCAAATGGAGTGAACGGAGGAGATGCTGTGGTTGACGATCGATTGTTTGAAGCTCTATATGCGATGGAGGTCTGTTTTCTGGTTATATACTTTGCGGAATTTTCAAGGCGCTTCTTTCAAAAGCGTATTTCATCAAACTGCAGGCCTATCGCAGAATGTGGGTATGTTAACTTGGCTTTTTCCAAAATCCAACTCTCCTAAGTCATATCTTGGGTCTGTATTTGTGAACATAAAGTTTTCATCTCACAACTTGTAAAGGTTTTTCTAGACTTCTCATCTCTAATCGAAAAGTTGTAGGTTTTTCAAATGGGTGAATTCTACCTCAAATCTGGCCAGATGACTCCTATTTATATCGACCTTCGTAGACTTATCAGTCAACCCAAAACGCTGGTAATAGTATTTTTTTTCGTTTTTCGCACTATTGCACTATTACAATCGCAACGCTCGCAACAATACAACCCTAAAAAGGATTTAAAAATCTCTAGGTGGAGCTTCGCCTATGGAGTGGTTCAGTGCCCCCAGGAGTATCAGTTTCGACGCCAATTTAAGCTCTACTTGGGTCAGCTTTACGCGAATGTCACATTTGCAATAAGGAACAACAAACTCCCATGCTGGTGTTTACCGAATTTT